CCCCCCAAGCCATTGCTTTTTGCTTGTCGTATTACAAATTTAACTTCTGGCTGTTGTTGCAAAGATATTTTAAACCAGTGTTACCAACCAGTATGGGAAGAATTCCTAAATACCCTTTAGAGCTATTTGGTTTTTGTAATTGTTTTAGCTAATGGACCCATAAAGAGACCTGTAAAAATGTATTAAGAAGAGGAAGAAAAATTGCGTAGTAATCAGACTTGAAAGATTCTGTAGATTGGTGTTCAGTTTTAAAATCTTGGTGATTCTTCACGTTCCTTTACTATTTTCAGGTTAAAGTATATGATTTCATATGTGTGTGATCAGTGATCAAAAGCTTTTATTAAATAGTTACAGTTACCAGCGTGTCTTCTTTTCCTTTATCTCTGAATGCGTAACCTGGTGACTGATACCTGTTGTAATATTTTAGAAGATGTAATAGTCATTCCAAGAAAACACAATTTTCTCCTGAAAATGATGTTAAGCTGTTACTCTTTGGACTTTTCATTGACGTTTTCACTGGATGCACCACAGTTGCAACATGGCTTGGATTGATAGTGAAACATTTCAGATGCTACTTTTTTTTTTTCTTCATTTTTATTTAATCTTTAAGATTTTATGTATTAGCAAAACTGGTTTGCATAGTGCAGTTTAAATTTTTATGTGAATTAATGCTTCAGAAAATTTGGAGTAAGCTAATTGAAGGCACCAACTTTCAAGAGATAAATTCTTCTTTAATATTGAAAACAACCATAATGATAAAATTATAGTGTGCTACAGTTCTATATGACACATTTTTCTGTATATGATGTTGTAAAATAACATCCATATGTCAGTAAGTTGTAGAAATTCAGGTGCTAAGGGTTATTAAGGTATCGTAGAAGGTAAAAGGGTGATCCATGTAGTTAGAATGTGAACTCCCTTTGTATAAAGAACACTTGATCTTGTCCATAAATTTCACGTGTTACATTATCACTACTAGGAAATAGTATTCCTGAATGTCTTCATCATGTGGACAATCACAGATTTTTAATGTCGTTTCCATTAAAACTGCTAGTCATATTTGGAAGTATTTCTAGCTTGTAAAATTGTCTCAAAAGAAATAACATGGTCAACATAAACGTTCACCAAGCAGACACTGAGGACAAATAGTGAGAGTACAGTTGTTTAACCGTAGGCTGTATTTAAAAGTCATATCGGTGTAACTATTTCAGTTGATGAACTGATGACTTACAAAAATGATTATTCTAAGGAAATCACCAGCATTACTATAATTATTCTTTCTTGTATGAATAGCTGCTACTGCAAAATATCTTTATACCTGCCTAATGGCATTAAAAGCAAGCTATATATCATTTTAATTACACTTGTTTTGCTGGAGTGGTACGACTTTATGTTGCAGACCAACTTTATGCCTTTAGGTTGGGCAATTAAATCTGTAAATGTTTGTTCCATCTGTAAATGTTTGCTTTCCTCAGACTTCAGAAATGTATGCTTTAGTATTGCTCTTGCTGTGGGGTGATGAGGTACTGCCACCTATTTAGCTAGTGCCCAAGTCTTCGCTATAAAGCTGCTGGGAAAGTACACTCGTACTGTGACCTGCTGAAGTTCCTGTTGGTGCTGCACCATATAGTTCAAAATTAGATAGCCTTGACTTGTAGGCAGTTCTTCTGTGGCTTATCATTGTTAGAAATCACGTAGAGGAAATCCCGTATTACTCTAGTTCTCCTACCTTCTTCATGCCTCTAGTGCGTGAGGTATGCTCTGCTGCGGGCCCTGCACAGTTGGTGTTTACCATAGCCGGCAGAAGATTTGCCATTTTGCGTTGGTATGCTACTGCCAGCCCTCGCTAGACCTCTAGATGATATTCCGTTGCAGAGAGTGGGTTGCAGTCTTGTGTTCCATCTTCAATATTTTGAATACATTACCAGTTTCTTATCGATTTGTTCACTGTTTTGAACTATAATCTGAAGGCTTTTTTAATTGCAAATTAAAAATGTAAGATGTTTTTATTCTTACAGGAAGGAAGAAACAGAAGCTTGCCAAAGAGAGAGCAGGGCTTTCCAAGGTAATACTGTGTTCAATAATGCAGTGCTATTTTGAAAGATGTTTCATTTGTATTATTTTTAAGATATGTTTAAAGATATGTTTTGATTCCAGCATTACAAACACTTCTGCAAATACGCAGTCTTTAGGTTTTTTTAATGCTCACAAATAACCGTATGAAATGTTTGTTCCTTTTTTGTGTCAGATAGAGGCCTTGTACTAGAAAGTACAACATTTACTGTGTGATTCGATGGTGTTTTCCTCTTTGTTGTACGTGCAAGGACTTTTCAGACTTAAAAATCGTTGATGGGATATGCCTATAACTGAACTTGATAGTTTTTTGCTATAAGTATTTGATTTCTCTTTCCTTATCGCCAGTGGATCCTGGAAGAAAAGATATATTTATCTTAACCAATTGTAAGAAATACAGTTGTGATAAACATAACGCACCTTAATTTATATTTCCTACAAAATCGTGTACTTAATAGAGGTATTTCAGGCTCTGTCTCTCTACAGATTTGTGATGCAATGATATGAGACCTGAGTCTGATTTTCAAAAACACTGTGTACATTTAACTTAGTGATGACACTTAATTTTTTCTGCCAGTTTCAGTGTAACAGTATGGTTGCATGTGTGTTTGATTTCAGTGATAATGTTTTCTGCTAACTTGTTTATTAACTGATGTTTAAGGGCAAACTTCAGTTTTACTGTGTGTGTTATAGTTGCCTGATCTGAAAGATGCTGAAGCAGTTCAGAAGTTTTTCCTTGAGGAGATTCAGCTTGGCGAGGAACTACTAGCTCAAGGTAATAACATAATTTTTTTTGAAGGGTAAGTTGTAAAATAATTTTTCTTTACCTCTGCTAGAAGATGATTTTTATATACTAAGATCTTCTGGGGAGTCAAACTCACCTAGGAAAATCTGTTTACTTGTCTCTACCCTTCTGTGTTCAGAAGATCCAGCAAAGGAGGAGGAAAGAAGAGTGTGGATTGGTTCTCAGTAATTTAATCCACTGTTGATGGATGTTTTATGTAAATACTTTACAGTGTGGAAGAAGGTTGATTTCAAAACACTATCATTTTCCATACAGGTGAATATGAGAAAGGTGTTGATCACTTGACCAATGCCATTGCTGTGTGTGGACAGCCGCAGCAGCTACTACAAGTTCTACAGCAGACTCTTCCACCGCCGGTGTTTCAAATGCTTCTAACTAAGCTCCCTACAATAAGCCAGGTATGTGAAATGTTCCCTGTTGTTTTGGTTTGAAAATAATTGAACTACTTCTCTTGCCCACTACATCAGTCTCGAGTACTGTTTTTTGTAATATGTTTTTTGTATATGTTCAGTTAGATTAAAAGAAGCTTTTTTTTTTTTTTCCACCTGAAACATTACAAAGTGTATATGAAAAATACCATGTGGCATTAATAGCATACAGGGTAAAATAGAAATACAAAACTGCTCTCATGCGTAGGGTATGCCAAGCTCTCTTAAAGTAGAGACATCTGACTGCAGCTCTGATGCTGTAAGTGGATCCACTGTTTCCCAAATACAAGCTGGGGGATCAGAAAAGCGGTAACTTTCTTGCAGTGGGTCTTGAGGTTTTTTGGTTTTTGTTTTTTTAAATCATATATCTACAAGTGTCTGTAAGTGCTATAGAAGTCCGTTAGAATTAATCTGTTGCTTCTGCTAGCCTGTTGCTTCTGGGCCAGCTATAAACACAAAATGTTAACTAGCACCAGAATGCATGACCGTTTCAGAAGCTTGGGGGGGTTCCCTGGTGATAAAAGTGTTCGTAGCTCTGTGTATAAAATGCTCTCCCTTTTTAGCCTGAGTACTGTGCAGGTAACGTTGGTAATATGCTAGCAGGTGGGTCTATTGTAAAATAAATAATATGTTTTACGTTCTTAGAAATGCGAGGGTACTCCCTAATGGTGTTACCTCACATAAAGCAGAGACTCAGTGCTGTGCATCAGTCAGCTCTCTTTACAGCTCAGGCCTGGTTACATTTCGGTTTAAGATCCGTATAGTTAGTAAAAACACTGAAAAGTGTCAGGTACACAAGATGTAAAGGTCTGGGGAAATAATGGAGCAAAAATGTTTCCTTAGAGAACAGTGCCAAAAACCACACAGAAGTCATCACTTGAGGCTGCTAGGGTTATTATTTAGCTGACTTTGGCTTTGTTAGGCATTGCACAGTATGTAATTTCTGCGGAACGGACTTCAAAAACTTATGTCAAATAGATTAGCATTTTTAACATTAATCAGTTTGCTCAGTAATTACACTGCTTAATGTTCAGTGTAAAATTACATTGCTTGATAATCAGTTGCCTACTGTCAATTTTATGTAATTGTGAATGAGTTTTTCTCCTTCTTACAGAGAATTGTAAGTGCACAGTGCTTGGCTGAAGATGATGTTGAATGAGGTCACACCACAACAGGGGGGAAAAAATGTTTTCTTACCCCAGAAGATGAGCATCAGTAGGGGGATAAAGGGGCAAACATAGTAGTTAATGGACTGTGTACCACATCGGGTTCTACCAGAGTTAAAATTAACTTTGTGTAGGTGGGTTTCGCAGGATTTTATTTATTATCCCAGTGAAAAGTGTATTTTGATAAGAATTCATTTTATAAATACACTGTGGTGAGTTATCAAAGTATCACTAACTTCATTATTATTAAAATATGCAGTTGTAATGTTGTACATATAAAGACATAAAACTACGACCTATTAAAAACCCAATGCTCATTTTTGAAAAAACAAAGTTATGGCAATAAAGATTTATCTGCACTTGTGTGTCCCTATAGTACTACTTTAAATTTCAGAACATTTGGGTGTCAGAGAAAATGATCTAAAAATGACTTAACATTAAAAATTATTTTTAATGTTATGGCTGGTCTTCCAATGCTGTTAATTAAGTTTAAAACCTTGTGTCATTTCCTGAGAAAATAGACATGTGATCATTTAAACAGTAACCGATCACCTGAGAGAGAGAGGCAAATCAGAATGGTAATAGATGACTGGCTGCAGAAAGAATGACAAATCCATTTCTGTCAGGAACAGTAACATCTAAAGTGATGCAAGTCAAAACTGTATCTGGCAAACATGAAACTCTGTTAATGCAGGTGTCTGAAATAAAGCTGTTTGGAATAGAACCTGGAGCAGATTGTAAGAGCTTTTTCCGGAAAGCTTGAAACCTTTTTGCGAGATAGGCAGTTAATGCTTCAGTCTCTAGTCTTCAAGACCATAGAAAATGGTTGTTAACAGTCTTTGGTGTTTGCCTTAAAAAAAATTGCACTGATAAGGTAAGACGGTGATATCTCCAGGCTAAACTAGCTAAAGCTAACGGAGTTAGAAAGGTGATGTAAAATTTCAGTATGGTGTGATACTGTAAACTTGAATTTAGGTAAGTTTTCCTTTGCCAGTGAAAAGGAGACAAGTAATGTACAGACTCGAGTGAGTAGCAGAAGCATACTTCTGAAAGCAAGTTTTCCGTGGATAGCAGGTTCTAAATGTCAAAACAGATTGGCTTCTGCTGTTCTCTGGTTTTGTGCTATCGCCGCTCGGGTGTCAGAAGAAACAATTAAAAATGTAGCTTTATATTTTTGGCACGGTGACTTGTTTTAACTTAAGGAGGAGAATGCTTCGAGGTGTCTGTCTTTCAGACCAGCTGATAGTTTGTGCTAATGATGCCGATACATTACTAGTAAGGTACTACGTAGCGTTGTCCAAGTAGAAGTGAGACACTGAGAGCATGGCACTTTAGCCAGCATCCCCATCTGTCTCTGTCTCATTTCAGCCTGGTGTAAGTTTCTGTAAAGGCAGATTCTTCCAAACCATAGGTCTCAACGTGTCAAATTGCCTCACACAGAATTTTTGAGGAGTGGGTAGTTCATGGTCACCTAGCAGTCAAATACCTGAGTTTGGGAGTAGAAATGGCTCTTGATGAGTCAGTCTGCTTAGATGGTTTGCCATGGAAGAGATATTTCCCACTTAGCCCCTTGAAAACACAATTTCCCAAGATTTGAGGTGCTATTGAATCTTTCTGTAATGTGACAAATACTGAAGTTAATGGCTGGTACGAACAAAGATTTCTTGAACAGCTGGCTGTAGTTTAGTCTTTTTGTTGTGCTTGAATTGTTCAGGTAGCATAAGGTAAAAGTAAAACTTAGTAGCCATAATCTTCAGGTGACAATGGCTGGTTTGCTGTTTTAATTTATTTTAGAGGGACAAAGTTATTCTGCACCTAGAATACTTAATAAAAATACTGTGAAATTGCAGAAGGTTCTACTTTTAATGAGTACAGTGCGGCTTTTTGGAGGAGTTTTTCTTCTCCTTTCTAACCCTTAAAAGTAAAAAGTAAGAATTCATAGGTTATGCTGACAGAACTGTTAGCATATCTACCTGGTGTCCTTACTGGTGGTGGTCGCTTCAGTGTAATAGCTTCTTGGTTCAGCTTTTAACGTCACCTTAAGGTAAATCAAACTCTTCCATCCTGCCTTGAAAAACAAACCCAAGCAGCATAAGACATAAGTGGCACCCTTCCTTCAAACTTGAACAATTTTCTACACTCTTTGGTATAATGATGACAATTTGAATTCACAATTTAGCTTACGGGAAAGCTCTTCTGAACTAAGTATGTTTTGGCAAACCTGGGTGTCAATTCTTCTGATTTTGATGGAAGACCTGGTGATAGTCTTGATTATGTCCACAAATGGCCATTGCTTTAATAAACACCATAGACACACATATTCCTCTAATCCCTTTTAGTTTTCTTGATCCTGCAAAGTTGGATGTAAACAAAATTGTAGATGGCATAGGTTTAAATGAAGCCTTAAGTACAAATTTGTTCTCATATTCGATAACCCAGAAATACCTGGTTAGTATGCTAGAGCAAACTCTGATACCTCTTTTGAGTGCCTTGGCTAATAGGGTGGGAATGATGAATCCTTTTAACAAGGCTTAAGACTTTTTTTCCAAAATCACCCGCTGAAGCTAATACCTTACAAACTGTGAAGACTTGAAGATATTGTCTAGAATGGGAATTTGCTGTTGCTCCAACAATGGCAGGCTGACGCTGGTGTAGCTAGCGTGCACAGCCCACAGATGTAGGAGGCTGTAATTTAGAACTGGTTTCAGACATAAGCAAAGCGCACGTCATCAGAAGTGCAGTGGTAATGATGGATGTTATTGCATCAGTAGTAGTAATGCCATCGCATTAGCTGTGCATAGTACTGTATTTCTTTTCACCTGTGCAAATTTAAAAAAGGTGGAAGTGAGCCATTCCAGTTGTGGATTTGCTGCTGCTGAGCTCACAGCTGCTGGTGAATAAGATCTGTAATCTTATTTTACTGCAGGTAAAACTACTAATCTTTCTCCCAGAAAGAGCCATCTTCCCTTCTGTGGTGCTCCAAGAACAAGGCACTTGTTTTCAGCACTAAGGATTTCTCATAAAGGAAATCAGAGGTCTGCTAGTTTTATGTTGGGAAGTCTCCTATCATCCATCAGTTATGAGCTGCTCAGGCAGCTTTTATAGAAAAAGACCCATCTAGTTTCATGATCATGCAGGACTACCTTTGATGTCTCACCATTAAGTTTTCTAGATAATGGAATTGAATCCAAAACCAGAGTGATCAGGCACGCACTGAATCATCTGGCACTGATTTCCTTACCCTGGGGGATGACAGAATATTAATGTTGCCCTTAACTTGAAAAATTAAGGAGTCCCAGCCCTGCTGTGTAGGAGGCCAGCCAGCCATCATCAACGTAAAGCTCCAGCTATTTATGCACCCAGAAGAATCTGAAATTTCATTTGTACGTCTGTTGATGGTGTGTTTAAAGTCCCTTAGGCTGAACAGTGGCCCTACGTGACCTTTGTGTTAAAACTAACGAGTTAAACTTCAAGGGAATCTTTGAAGTGGTCACTAAGTGCTTTTAGCGAGTATTTCAAAGGCATGTTGTACTGTACACCAATGCTTCTGCGTTTTTAAACATGTGGATGTGAAAAGGGCTGATGTGAAAAAAAATAATAATTTCTTCAAGGCTTCTGTTGTACCCAAGTATTGGTTTGGTTTTTAATTTGTGTGTTTACACTGACCAGTATAGCTTATGGTCTCCTTTATGCAGTGACCAAAAAAAGCCCATCTGCACAGCAGTCAAATCTGACCAAAAGCCTGTTGCAAAGAGCTGAAACCTGTACTTAATTCACGAGGCCTGGGCTGGCGTTCATCAGAGGCACTCTGGAAACTGAGCTTCTGGTGCGGGTAATAGTACTTGTTTTCTGCATTTGTACCAAAACAGAGCTTCCCAAAGAAGAAGATGTGGACATCTGATGCCGTTCTCGGAGGGCAGAATTTGCCACGCCCCGTGTATGAATGTGTGAGTGAAGCCATAGAAGGCAGCTGGCCCTTCCGTGATGTTTCTGTACCAAACTGTCCAGCATACTGGCACTAGATAATGGGCGGCTTTTTCAAAGTACAGTGGTTTCCATATGTTCTTGAAAAGAAAATCCAGGTTCTCACTTCTTTCCCTGCAGTAGGGGCTTACAGGTGCTAGTTTTACAGAATATTTGCTGGACGTCTTTTGATAAGGTCCCCACCCTGTTTTCCGATCGCTGCTGTAACCTAATAATCATGAGCTCTTAGAGGGCTCTGTGCTATAAGTTTTCGACTCCAGACATATAGTTCCAGTTCCTGTTTTGTAAAGGTCAGGCCTTGATTTAATGGGTTGACAGATGCATGTCCTCCTGCAGCACGCACTCACGACTGCCGTTATTTCCCTTACACCCCGAGGATGTTCTTGACTCATCTTTGGGGTGAGAGGATGTCCGTTGGTGCTCACCCACTACGTGATAGCTGCTGAATGGAGCGTTGTTGCAGTTAGCACAATCTTGCTACAGCCTGCAAATCTGTCCGGATGGTCCATGCTGCAAGGCGGTTATGAGTGGCTTTCATGTATGAAATTTCTACTGCTCATGAAGGCAGAAAACAGCTGATGCCGGATAGTTCTGCCTCTTCACAACTTGGACCCTTGCAACTAAAAGCTGATTTGGTCACACGATCATTTATTTGAGCAGGTCTTAATCTAAACAGCAGAGGGCAGTTTTGCACACGTGTTCTGTTCAAGCTCATCCTGCAAAATCCTAATTTTTAGAATCTTCCTGTCTGGTGGGGTGATGCAATGCAGCATTTTGTCCAGATAAATTTGGTACAGTGATCCTGGTGACAGAATCAGTGGGGCAGCAGTGGCATATGCTTTTACTGATGCCTAATTTTGCCTTTTTAAAATTTAAAATCCTATGTGTTTGATTTGTTGTGATGATACGATTAGGATTTCCCTTTTCTTTCTCTCCATCCTTCAACACAAACCAGGTATATAGATAAGCCAGCTGCATTGTACAGCTTAAACTCTGCGACAAAATGCAACTGAATCTCGTTCCCAGGCATGCAAGAGGAGAGTTTTCCCCTGCCCAGCTGTGATTTTTCTGGATGAGCTTTGCTAGCTGGAGTGAAAGGAGAGCACCTGTTAACTGCAGCAGGGGTGGAAGAGAAATCTGCATCTTGAGCCCCTGCCTGGAGTTGGACTCTGGCTGTGATGGCCTGTGTGAGGAGGGCCAACCAAAAAAAAAAAAAAAAGGGCAAGATGTTATAGGTTGGTGACGGGATGCAGTTTCGTTGCTGGTTGAGATTCAGCTTAAGGTGGCAAGATCTCCTCACCCTGTTGCAATCCTGTAGCTGATGCGAAGTGAGCTGGTGGGGTCTCTCTCATGCCTTGGAGGCAGCTATTTGCTG